GCCTAACACTTTTATTATTATGATTATGGATAACGTTAGCGAAATAAAAGTATAAATGTAAAATATAAAATAACCACGCTGTCAACAAAGTGACATGTTATACACTAGTATATTATTATTATCAGTGCTTTTTATAGGCTCCCATATTATAATTATAACCATGCATATACCCCTTATTATTATGTTATGATGTCATTTGTTGATTCCGAATTGGGAGTTGCACATAAAACTTAATCAGACCCCGCCAAGACTCACTGTATGTTACACGAGGATGCGGGAAATTTACTATTTATTATAAGATCACTTTTAACCACTGATGTTTGAACCACAATGGCTTCTGGAAATAAGTTGGAAGAATTATCAACTGAACTTATCATCACGGTGTCTGATAATACTCAGACGGGGAGTTTGTCGCAGCAGCAGCAACTTCCGATCATATTGGATAATAATAACCGTCCCCTCTCCCGGGAAATTGCTGAGAGGAGGTTAAAAACACATGGCGAGAATGTCATCTCCGGACAACGACCTACACGATGGTAATAGTTGTAGTGAATCATGGCATAATCTAAGCTCAATTACCTTATACTATCTCTAAATTCTTTTGTTATTACAGGTACACTATCCTTTATCGTACAATTTTTCATCCCTTCAACTTCCTTTTGGGAGGTATCTCCATTTTTGCTGCTGTCACGAAGGATATCAGTACGGTAACAGTATTGTTAAGCATGATTTTGTTGAGCGTTGGAATTCGCTTCATTCAAGAATACAAGGGCGAGGTCGCGGCACAAGCACTTAAAAACATGGTCAATAGCAGTTCAACCGTTATCCGTCTCTATTCACCACCTGACATTCGGTATTATCACGTTCTCTAATTTCAAATAATAATATTATAGTATTATTTAAATAACAACTTAATGTCTCTAGTGATCCGAATTTTGAAGACGTGGAGAAGATGGATCGGGGTGAAATGGTTGAAATGGATATCCCATTAAAAGACATTGTACCAGGCGATTGGGTTAGGATCAGCGCAGGTGATCTAATTCCAGGCGATGTACAATTAGTCTCCTCCAAGGATCTTTTTGTTTCTCAGGCATCATTAACTGGCGAATCCATCCCCGTTGAAAAATTCACAGTTTTGCAACCGCAGAATCTTATTATGTCTGATGAGGCAACAAAAACTGGCAAATCGGCCAAATTCGAGCTCGATCGGCCAGATTTATGTTTCATGGGAACGTCCGTTGTCAGTGGTACTGCAACGGCTATTGTCCTCAACACAGGCCCTAATACTTACTTTGGTAAAATGGCCGAAAAGCTCTCTAACCAACGACCAACAAATGCGTTTCAAATTGGTATTCGCCGTATCAGTTACTTGTTTTTGGTCATAATGTTCTCAATAATACCTCCGGTGTTACTCCTTCAGGGTTTTTTAAAAAAAGAGTGGAAGGATGGCTTGTTATTTGCTGCTGCTGTTGCAGTTGGTCTCACTCCTGAAATGCTGGTGAATTATCATATTCAACATTGATTTTCTGCACATGCTGAAATATCCATATAAACTGAGTCCATTCTTCTATATACCAATATAGCCAATGGTCGTAAGCGCAAATACGGCACGTGGCGCCTTCGCTTTATCAAAGAAAAAATGCATTGTAAAGAGACTTGATTCTGTTATCAGTCTTGGTGGAGTAGATGTCTTATGTACAGATAAAACAGGAAAGTTGGATAGTGTATATTCTCGTGAATAATAATAAGCACCTATAAGCGCCCACATGATTACTGCGTATTACATACCCCTCTCATAACATATATTACATAATGAATGATTGCTTCCTGGGTGTGCTTATCACGAGAATATACGATGATTGATTGCAACTGGTTTTTTTTATATTTAATGGAATTTTTTAAATTTTATTAGGCACCTTAACTTGTAACAAGGTTATACTCATGAAATATCTTGATTATCTGGGTGAGATATGTCAACTTCCTTTATATCTAGGATATCTCAACAGTTACTTTCAAACTGGTCTTAAAAATCTCTTGGATGAGGCTGTTATTGAGTTCTTTAAGAATGAAAATGAGACCGACATTGCCCCAAATTTTTTCCAAGTGGACGAAATTCCGTTTGATTTTATCAGAAGACGAATGTCTGTCATCTTAGAATCCAAGCAGGATATGCAGCGCTTTTTGATATCCAAAGGAGCTGTGGATGAAATGTTGACTTGTTGCACGAATATTTATATCAGAAAGGATAATGATCCGTCAGATGCAATTTTCCCAACCACGGATATTGTTCCTATTACGCCGGAAATTCTCACGTCTATAAAGAATTTGAACGAAAGGCTTAACAATGAAGGTTTACGAGTCATAGCAGTTGCCTTTAAGTGTATGAAGGAATGTTCGGCATTCAACGTCGCCGATGAGAGTGAGTTAACTTTAGTTGGTGTTTGCGTGTTCTATGATCCACCAAAACCGAGTGCTAAGCCTGCCCTTCAGGAACTGCTTAAATACAATGTGGAGGTTAAAGTACTTACCGGTGACTCACCTGTGGTCTGCCGCAAAGTTTGTGAGGAGATTAATCTTCCAATTAAATCCATTGTCACTAATACTGAACTTGAAGGACTCGATGATTCACAGCTGGAAGAAATTGCTGAAAATGGCACAATATTTGCAAAGTTAACTCCTCTTCAAAAAGCAAACATCGTAAGTGCATTGAAAAGGCGCAATCACATTGTTGGTTTCTTAGGTGATGGAATCAATGATGCCCCGGCAATTCGTGAAAGCGATTGTGGTATTAGTGTAGATGAGGGAACAGATATTGCTAAAGAATCTGCAGACATCATTTTGCTTGAAAAGAGCCTGATGGTACTTGCTGATGGTATAGTCCACGGAAGAATCACTTATGGCAATACAATCAAATATATCAAAATGGTTATTTCTTCAAATTTTGGTAACGTGTTTAGCGTTTTGATAGCCTCTGTATGGCTTCCTTTCTTGCCGATGGATCCAATTCAAATCATATTGCAGAATCTTTTGTATGACTTTTCTCAGACTTCAATCCCATGGGATAAGTTGGTATGTTCGTCTAATAACTTTTTATTTTATTGAAATTGTCAGTTTAACTTATTAATTCATTGCAGGATCCTGAATATTTACTTTCTCCGAAACGATGGTCTGCAAAAAGCATCGCTAGATTCATGGTTTTCGTTGGGCCATTTAGTAGTATTTTTGACATTACTACGTTTCTTTTTATGGTTTACTACTACCAATGCAATAATCCAGATGATCATTATAAAGTCCAATTATTTCGTAAGTAGACTAGTTTATCAATTATCCATTTATTTATTACTCAGAGAACGTAGTTTAAATCATAATGTTTCTATGCAGATACGGCTTGGTTTGTTGAAGGGTTGCTCACGCAAACGATGATAGTCCATATAATTCGTACTCCAAAAATTCCTTTTATACAGTCAACCGCCTCCTTACCAGTATGTTTGACTACCTTTGCGGTTATCTGCAGTGGCGTAATAATTCCGTTCACACCATTGAATCAACTTTTGGGAATGGTTCCATTACCCGGGTTTTACTTTGTGTACTTCTTAGCAGTAATTATTTCCTATTGTTCACTCACCAGTTTTGTCAAGGTGTTGTTTATCAAATTCTTTAAGGAATGGTTGTGAAAAAAAATAAGTACTTAATAATAAGTAGTCAACTCTTTATTATTATAGTAATGTGCTTTTGTACCGACCGACTGGTCAATTAATAAATAAATTATTATATACTTAAGTAGCATCCGGACATGTGCACGACTGGCTGTAATACTATGATGATCATCGTTCGAAATTGTCAACTTTTACTATGAAAATTCGCCGAAAAAATTTTTCGACTTTCACATAAACTACTGCGTATTTTTTGGATAAACGCAAACTTGAGGATCTGCACTTTCGTCCTAACTAAGTTTTGCTTCCTTGAAAAACTGAAAAGGATTTTCACTTTGAAGTCTTCGTGTCGGACTATATATAGCTTTAAATACGTAATAGATCTCTTATTGTCTAGTACTAGCCTAAATGGAATTTCAACCAGACGACGTGTCTTCTAGCGAGTCTACTGGACAGAAAAACTGGCAGCGTGAGTATTCTTTACTCTAAAGGACGTTGGTTAGGGAACAACATATGCTTACTAAACGAATTGCAGGTTGGAATGAAGCGGTCGACAATGAAGATGTTGAAGAATATGTTGAAGATGAAGAGGGTTCATTGTTATTTGACTACATAGCCGTAGAGAATGCCAGAAGACAGTTGGTAGACAGAGAATTAGAAAATATAGAAGACGAAACTATTGAAGAAGCATATGATAACAGGTATAAAGATTCTGAAAGTTGTGATGAGGATATATGTATCCCAGAAAAGAACGCATACAAGTTGTCGCCGTGTGTTGTCATTGATAAATCTTCAGGAACGTTTGCACGTTGTAATTCGGAGTGTAACTTAGAGCCGTTGTCTCATATGATTGGAACGTGGGAGGTTGATGTAGAACTGGGAGAGTGTGCAAAATTTAAGTTGCATGAGTATGGCGTTTGTTCAAGCCATTTCAATTTGACAATAGTAAGCTCCATAAAGCCGGCCTTAAAAAGAATAGACCAGTGAATACAAGCACAGTTCATAAGCAACTATGTTTATTTTGTAACAAACACAAATACTTCTTTACCAGAGGAGGTAATTGTTTAACACACTGTTGGGCTGTAGGTGGAAGAAATATACAGGTCCCATGCATTGGCCTAAAGTCATGCCCTGTATTTGATAATAGTCCTTCATTGGCATTGCAAACAACAAGTGTGCATCGTGTTCGCTTTATTTGTTCAGAATGCTTTGAAGCAAATGGTGGGCATCTGCATATTCGTCAGGGATCGGGACACACTTTAACTTGTTCTCAAAGTGGTCATCATAATAATGACATAAAGAATGGCCTACAAACATTTTCAAAAGCAATATTGAATCTTTCAAAGACTGATGATGAAGAAAGGCAGCGCATTTTTCTTACATGTCTGAACTCATTACTGATAACATCATCACCAGAAACATCAAATAGTCCTCCTAGTTTATTTGCAACAAAAGTAGCTATGAGATTGCAGAATCTAGATTTTGATACATTTTCAGAGTATAGTCAAATAGAAGATTTAGAGTATAGAAAAATTGGTGAATTTCTTGGAAATGCTATTATTATCATATAACTGATTAGTAAACGAACATCCAAAACGCGATACTGGGATGCTATTAGCAAAAAACAAAATCGCGCCATTATTTTTACCCAGTACTGTGTATATTGCAAGAGAGACCGTTGATTGTTACAACGGGATTCAAGAAATATAGTATTTTACGCTGTAAAAGCTTCCAGTTTGCTTGGCATTCTCATGCACATTTTATTGTAGGCATGACCTGCACAACGCTTTGAAAATCTATTATAAAATGTATAAAAACCGATTTAAATGAATTGTGTTACCTATTTCCTTATATAGGGACGGTCTCTCTTGTACATAAACTATAAACTTTGGAGGATCTACAATTTGAACCAAATATTGCCAGATGTTAGTCGTAGATTACTGCTATGATACAGATGTTCCGAAGTCCGCAGATGCAGGAGTGCTTAACGGCACATTCGCAGGAAAAAATTGTTTCCGATTTCAACCCGAATAGAATCAAGAGATATTAGATAAATCAGTTTGACGACTCGGCAAAGCTCATTACTGCATTTTAAGCTCACAAAAATTAAGATTATCATTACTCTGTTTGTGTTTGTTGCAAATACCGAAATTAGAAGTGGGTATGGTTGCTTTGTATTTTACTATAAAAGGTTAGATATCTGCAAAACCGCTTCTAATGTACCACAGTATTAAATATAGATTCCCGTTAAAAATAATTGACGCGAGAATTGCGCTAAACCTTTGAATAAATCGAATTACCACATCAATATGACAGGTGTTGGGGGTCGAGTTTCCATTCCAGTACAAAACAATACTCTATTGATGAAAAATGGATGATCGTGTGACAAATCGTAAAATTCAATCCTCCTTCTCCGAAACTTAATACTGTTATTTCAGTATTTGCCGCACGTTCTTTAATTCTTGTTAGAATCAGTGTTATTGTGTGCAATAGACGTTGACCATGTCCAGCATTAATTCCAACAAACATACTTTTATAAAATTCGAAACCAAACTGGTCTTTTGTATAAATGGTGCTCGCGTAGTACTTAACAACCCAGACCCAGACATCACTTTGTTGCAGTATGTTCGTAGTATTGGCTTGACTGGGTGAGTGTACATATTTGGATACCGAACCATTTGTTTATCGAAATAAACTGGATTTTTTCGGATTTTATCCCCTGGCATTTCATTGTTAAAATAACGGTCTTTATACATAAGCATATTCTCGTTACTCTTCCTTGTAAATGGGCATTAATTATCCAATTCTTTCCTACCTAAATAGTTGGTAACTTATCATCCCACAGCCTACGTTTGCCAATATCAAATATTGACTCTTATGTTGTTGTTTTTTTTTGGCTTTAGAACGAAACTCGGTTGTGCAGAAGGCGGATGTGGTCTGTATTATTTTTCTCTCTCTCTTATTCATATGATATCCGCAACGACCCTAATACCCCTGATATCACTCTCAGGTGCATGTACAGTATTACTTTCATCCTACGACAGCTTAACCCAAAAGATCAATCACAATTCGGTCAACGCGTGCCTTGTACCGTTATGCTCTGTTGAAGGAAAGCATGTTATTACAATAGAAGGCATTGGAAATGTGAACAAGCCTCACCCTGTACAAGTAAGTTTGGAAGCATTCTCTATGATGTATTAAACTACATGTGAATATTGACATACTGATTCTCATAGGAACGAATAGCCAGGATGCATGGGTAAAGTATTGATATCCATGGAGAGGGAGTGGAGACCATATACACGTATAGACACCATGAAGCATTGCAAGATCTGTTGGAAGCAGGTTATTCTTATCTGATCGAACGCATCTTGACTATCAAATAGATCGCAATGTGGTTTCTGCACGCCAGGCATTGTAATGTCATTATATGCACTGCTCCGTAATAATCCAAATCCATCATTACATGATATAGAGGAATGTTTCGATGGTAAAACGCTTGCATAACCCACCTTGGTTTCGTTTGAATCTTTTATACTGATCTTGACATTAATTTAGGCAATCTGTGTCGATGCACTGGTTACAGACCGATCCTGGATGCTGCAAAATCAGTAAGTAATGGTTTATGTATAGAGCGAAAGATTAATTAGGTTACATAATTTGAACTAAATCGGGCTTTGTCTTTCAGTTTGCTACTACACCGCTTAAACAAGAGACTGGAAAAACGGCAAATGGTGTCAAAAAGGTAGCTTCCTCGTAACGTATTTTCACTCCAACTATCGACGAATCTGCTGACGTGGAATATTTTCAAAGGAAAACTCTTGTGGTCGTCCAGACTGTTGCCGATTATCGAAAGATGTTCCCTGTGAAGAATTGCCAGATGGATTCACAAAGGTATTATTTACAAACGGTCATACGTCTTTCATGTTCGTAGGCTTTCCCCCCTTACTTACTTGCACCTTTTTATCAAGCCTGTCTTTAAAAACTATGAACCATCTCAAGAATTGATATTTCCGCCATCATTGATGAAACACGAGAAACATGCGCTGTCCTTTAATGGCAGAAAGACAAAATGGTTTCGACCGATCACTTTTATGCAGTTTTTACAGCTCAAGAATCAGTATCCAGATGCCAAGATAGTGTCTGGGAACACAGAAGTGGGAATAGAAACTGCTTTCAAGAATTTGCAATACAACGTTCGGATCCATGTTGGCGACTTGGAAGAGCTGAAAGGACACAAATTTAATGGTAAGAAATCAGGATGTGAGAAAATTCTGAATGTATACCGTTATATTAATAATTGTGATCTATTTAAAGATGATGGGCTACTAATCGGAGCAAATATCAGTCTGACCCAATTTCAATCTATATTGAAAGAAGCTTGCCAACGATACGAGGTATCAATCCATTTGTAATCACTGGATGCAATCCTGGCAAGGTTTACTCACGCTCATCTTTTTCCCTCTGCAAGCCCTATAAATGTCAAGTATTCCAAGCCTTTTTATCCATCATACGTTGGTTTGCCGGTACTCAGATCCGCAATGTGGCCACACCAGCCGGCAACATAATCACCGGTTCTCCAATATCGGATTTTAATCCCATTTTTCTATGCACAAATTCAAAGTTTACTCTAACGAGTTTGGACAAGTCTTTGAACAGACGTGTGGTTCCTGCAACATCTTTCTGGACTGGCTATAGACAAAACGTTTGCAAGAACACAGAGGCTCTTGAAAGCGTCTTTATTCCATTTTCGGGCAAAAGAGAATTCGTTAGGAGTTACAAGCAAGCAAAGAGAAGAGATGACGATATTGCGATTGTCAATGCCGCGTTGAGAGTTGCACTTGATGAAAAGAACGTGGTTAAAGACGCTAGTTTTGCTTTTGGTGGCATGAGCGGAGTTACCGTTAGGGCTTTGTCGGCTGAGCAGAGTATTAGGGGAAAATCATGGGGTGACAAGGGTATGCTGAGTTGGTTGATTGCAAAGATTGATGAGGTATGTTGCAATAGAATGGTTGAGATTACAAACGTGCTCCACAAGGGTGTTGTTGCTATTACTTATCTTGCCACGTTGATCGATTCATACATTTTTTCCCTCATTTATCAATAAGCAATTACAACTCAGCTTTTCTGCGCCCGGTGGCATGGCATCATACCGGAAAGCGCTAGTTTCGGGATTCGTTTACAAGTTTTGGCACGACGTGGCTAAGAATATAGGAATCCTAAACGAAGCAGAAATAGCAGATGCAGACAGTTTTATTAATATTATCGAACGAGACGTTTCACGAGGTGTTCAGACTATTGGGAACCCAGAGTATGTTATACTGTGTTTGCGTAATTGAAATAGCGATCGATTGCACACGCGTCAACTCAGCTGGTATTTTCCTCCATTACCCTGTTCTAGAGAAGATAAAAAAATAGTTGGCAAGGCGATTCCACACATCTCAGCTTTGAAGCAAGTGACCGGAGAAGCAATATACACCGACGACACTCCAAAAATCCATAACGAACTCTATGGTGCGCTTGTTCTTTCGCAAAAGGCGCACGCTAAAATATTAAGGTAATGCAAAAGCAGTAGGTTTCTATTTATCTACTCTCTGGAATCTGTTAATTTACAACACACGGATAATCTTTTAGCATCAACGCGTCTGAAGCATTGAAACAACACGGTGTCAAAAGTTTCTTTTCTGCTAAAGATGTTCCCGGAACAAATATCTGGGGTCCTGTAGTTCATGATGAGGAAGTGTTTGCATCTAAAGAAGTTCATTTCGTCGGTATGTAAAAAAGACATGTTTGAACAGTGGTTTCTCCCAGTACTCTCAACACTGTTCCTGTTTCCCGAAAGGTCAACCTATCGGCTTGATTGTTGCCAACACCCAAGCTATAGCCCAAGAGGCGGCGAGATTGGTGAAGATTGAATATCAAGAGCTGCCTTACGTATTAACAATTGAAGAAGCCATCGAACAGTCGAGTTTCTTTCCGGTTGATAGACGTATAGTTCGGGGTGATGTCGACAAGGCAATGAAACAAGCAGACTTTGTATTCGAAGGTAAATTTACCCCGATCGTAATGACCATGTGACTTGTTCAAATACTCACAATATCGCGAATTATTCAAAATAGGGAGAAGCAGAATCGGAGGACAAGGTACGTTAAATAAACAGTACATCCAGATTTTTCAATTTTAACTATATTGTATATCACAACTATTTCCTACTTATCAGAACACTTTTATCTCGAAACGCAAACCTCGTTAATAATTCCCAAGCCCGAAGATAATGAAATCGAGATTCACGCATCAACTCAGAATCCATCTGAAACCCAACACTTGGTTGCTTCCGTCCTTGGAATCAGTGCCAATAAAGTAATAACAAAGGTTAAACGTCTCGGTGGCGGGTTTGGCGGAAAAGAGACGAGAAGCCTGCCGTTGACGCTTGCATTGGCTGTCGGTGCTTGGCATTTGCGGAGACCCATTAGATGCATGCTGAACAGAGGCGAAGATTTTATGATCTCTGGACAACGACATCCGTTCCTGGGTATATGGAAAATTGGACTGACAAAAGAAGGAAAATTTTTGGCATTGGATTTGCAGGTTTGATAATTTTATCATTTATGGTTGTAAACATTAGTTTGAAGGAGACGTACGTTTACTATGAATATTTTTTTTGTATGTTACATGTGATTAAAGGGTTTCTCTCTCTCTCCATAGTTATTTAACAATGCCGGATGGTCAGCAGATTTGTCTGCAGCCGTCTTGGAACGCGCAATGACTCATTCCGATAACTGTTATTACATCCCGAATGTAAGAACAACAGGCAAGATGTGCAGGTCCAATACCGTATCAAATACCGCATTTCGAGGGTTTGGAGGTAATAACAAGCATTTGTGATCGCGTTTTATGTATTTTTTTTTGTAACACTAATGCTCCATCGGCACTAGGTCCGCAAGGAATGATGGTCACTGAGAACATCGTTTCCGAGGTGGCTGATCGAATGGGGATGAGTGCAGAGACAATTAGGGTATGGTGTTTTATGTCGAGTTTGCTTTTGTGTCCATACTTTATATTCCTATCTCGCTTACGCATTTATCATGTTTTAGGAACTTAACTTTTACAAAGAAGGCCAAAAGACGCATTTTAACCAACCTTTAACCGATTGGCACTTGCCGGAAATTTACCATCAAGTTAAAGAGTCCAGCGATTACAATAAACGTAAACAACAGATTAACGACTATAACGCTAGTCATAGATGGCGAAAAAGAGGGCTAGCCCTGATTCCCACCAAATTCGGACTATCCTACACTGCATTACATCTGAACCAAGCTGGCGCGCTAGTTCATATATATCAGGATGGTAGCGTACTAGTCAGTCACGGTGGAGTCGAGATGGGCCAAGGACTGCACACGAAAATGCTTCAGATAGCTGCAGAGGCTCTTGAAGTTCCTTTAGACAACGGTAACAGTGATTATAATAATGGGACATGCATACAATAATTGTATCAAAATGCTAAACAAGCGTATTTGCAATCGTTATTGATATAGTTCATTTGATGGAGACGTCTACAACAACGGTTGCGAATGCATCGGCTACGGCTGCGAGTGTCAGTAGCGACATTAATGGATATGCTGTGCTTAATGCTTGTAAGACGTTGTCAGAGAGGTTGAAACCGTACAGAGAAAAACATCCCAAAGCTTCTTTCAAAGAGGTGAGCATTATTCTGACGCCTTGAACGATGCTTTTTTCTTTGTTTGGCAGGCTGACATTGCTCATCAACAACTCTGTTTAAAGATATGTAATAAAGCGTACATGGACCGTATAAACCTGTCAGCTAACGGATTTTACAAAACACCCGACATTGGTTACAACTGGGATACTAACGAAGGACTAATGTTCTTTTACTTTACCACTGGCGTTGCAGCAACTGAAGTAGAAATCGATGTTCTCACTGGTGAACATCAGATATTGCGAACAGATTTGTGTATGGACATTGGACGCAGTCTGAATTATGCTATTGATGTCGGGCAGATTGAGGGTGCGTTCGTACAAGGCGTTGGATGGTGTACGATCGAAGAGATGTTATACTTTCCTAATGGACATGTATTTACCAAGGGTCCCAGCAACTACAAGTTGCCTGGATTTAGGTGAGCAGACTGGAGGATAAGCTTTGAATCGATTTAATAATGTATTCGAGTTGCTTAAGGTGTTTGTGTTGTTGTTTTAACAGAGACATACCGCAAGATTTTCGTATTAGCACTTTGAAAGATGTCAAGTATTCGCATTTGAAAACTATCCACAGCAGCAAAGGAATTGGTGAACCACCTTTATTCTTGGGGTCATCTGTTTTCTTTGCGATTAGAGATGCAATCGGCCATGCGAGGTGAGTTAACAAAATACATTCAGACAACCATATACACTCCCAACTCTGCCTTCTGTGCATATTTTAATCCGTAATTATACTTAGAAAATCGCAAGGTATCAAGGAATCGTTCTCTCTTATTTCGCCTGCTACGCCTGAAAGGATTCGCATGGCGTGTCAAGACGAGATTTGTAGAGCGGCGACTGTTACGAAGAAGGACGGTGAAAAAGCCTGGGTCGTCATGATTTAATATAAAATGCAGTTGAATTTGTATTGTGTTTGTTTGTTTGCAATATTAAATTAATAAATTCCCCTAATTATCTCATATGCTCTTGTATACGTTCCCAATGGGCGAGAGTCAAAAAATCGGGGCACTTTGACACATTTTGTACGTTCGCTAGCCTTGATCTACGAAAGAACTCTACATTAATCAAATTTATTGCTAAATGTTACATACAACACATATCCTTGGAGTAATATAAAATCATGCATTGTATATTGTTCGTCTTTATATATATCCCATTCCTGCCCCAACCCTATCTCTTTTCCGTCTATGCACTTTTATCCTTTTTTACAGTTCTTTTACATCCCTCCTCACATTGCCTTATATATTTGCCCTATTAATTCTAGCTCTTTTGTTTTTATATAATCTATTCTACTGTCGGTTTATTCCAAATGATGGCCTTTCAATGGCTTCTCTTATTCTAAGACTATACTGATTATCTATATCTAATGCTCGTGTGAAATGCTTGTTTGCATTAAGACGATCTCCACGCGCTTTAAATATCGTACCGATAAGCACGTGTATCTTTGGTTCTTGGGGCGCAAGATGTAAGAGATCCTGTGCCTCTTGAAGGGCTCGTCCAAAGTCCTCTTGTTTGAACAGCGCCTTTGCTCGCTTAAACAGCGCGAGAGGTGCTCTTGGCGATCTTTGGCATGCCTTTTCATACATGGAATGCGCTTCTTCCGATCTTCCCAATTTTTCTAATATTTTACCGTAACAACACAGTAATACTGCGCTGTTGGGGTTAATTTTTAATGCTTTTCGATAGTGTTGTTCCGCCTCATCCCGTTTCCCACAAGTCAAGAAATAATTAGCCAAACCATAGAGAGCGTTATAATGCCGAGGATTTGTGGTCAGGGCTTTTCTGAAATGCGTCATTGCCTGATCGTAATTACGGTTGGCCATGTTCTCGTGTCCTGAAAGCGTGTGAGCATAAGTGAAAGATGGATCCAATTGTATCGCTCTTCGGAAACATTTCAATGCATTCTGATGTTCATGACGTCGACTGAAACAGTTTCCTGCCGTTATCCATGCTTGAGGCGAGCGTCGGTCGAATTCTAAGAGTTCATTAGCAAGAGCGCTCTGTATGTTGTCTTTGCGTAGATGCCAGAGGACCGTCGAATATATTTCCATGTCTTCATGACGATAAGGGGCGGCACGGTGTGCCTGATCAAAGTAACCACAAGCCTTTTGTGACGGTAAGAGTAACCAGGTTATTGCAAACCGATCTATTGGTATAATTGGATGTTGCCTCTCTCTCATCCGTGCAATGGTCTTTCACTTACCGTATCATATTCCGCCAGCTCAAAATGGGCCTTTGCCAATTGGCATAGTATAAAAGGCGACTCCAACTGTTCCTTTGGTAATGTCTTGAATACATCTAGTGCGGATCGACATTCATAGTAGCTCATGTATGCACATCCCTTCGCCACCTTCTTCAATAGTGTCATGATTTCGGTATGCACCTCCATATTCTTTATTTCTTTCTCTTCCTTCGTCTCAAAGTCAAAGTCGTTTTCCGATTGTTGCTGCTCTTGCGCAAATTCTTCATCGATATCCTATTACAGTTGAATTAGAAACAAAGTTAACTTTGTCGTTAATAATACATGTATTAGAATGCGCGAGTGCGCGTTATAGGGCATATATGGCTAACCATGTGTGAAGAGAGTCTTGTATCTCGTGGAGAACGTGCTCGGCAATGGTCATCATCCAAAGTTGATATTGCTGAACTGTCTTCGGTGGATATACGTCGTTTCTTTTCGCGATGGTCGATTTGTTGTGTGGATGAAGATATTGGAGATTGCTGAAGCGAAATAAACAGAAGCAGTTGTAGCGAGAGATTTTGGATTGGGGAAAAGTACGTATTTTTTGCCCGTGTCAAGCAAGCATCAAGAGGAGGAGAGTCTCTTCAACTATGTTATGCACATAGTCCAAATGCTAGACTACGAAGAAACATTCATATATATATATATACTATCCCACTCCCCTTCAAGGGTAATTAGGGCTGCATTATACACACCTTCAGTCCCAAATTCTTCGCACGACGCGTTATGTGGTATCCCTTTTCTCCTCTGGTGAACATTGGCGTTGATGTCGATGTTACTTTTCGTGAATTCTGTATATCAGTGCATGGGGCTCGTAACATGTGTTCCTTGTTTGTCCGGAATATCAAATCAGGGTCGACGTCGTCTTCTTCAGGATTTCGCTCTCGATCCGCCTTTATTAAACCCATTTGACAGAAGGCCTCGAATGCCTCCCACATGAATGGGCTTAATTTGAGACATTCTTGATAATATTTTCGCGCATCCGCTTCACATCGGGCACCACGACAGAGATGACCAAGAAGACATAAGACTGCAGCTCTGTCCGGTACATCCTTATTCGACGAAGAGCTTACGCCTGATAATCGAGATCGCGGACAAGACGCGTCGCGTTCAGTGAGTGTTCAAATGACAAAATGTTGACAGAAATGGACGGGAGAGCTTACCAAGAATAATGTCGGTCACTTCTGGTCGTGGCCAAACGTTTAGCAAACGTGTTTTGCCCTCTACGTACAGTTTAAGGTCAAGACAACATCTGGCGAATAGGAAGACGCATTTTAGAGACTCTGTCTTCTTGAGTATATGATAGGCAGATTTTATCTGTCCTGATCGATAGTAACAAGTGGCCAAAACAAATTTCGAGTTTTCGTTTGAAGTGTCCATAGCAACTAGCCTTTCAGCCAGGAATGTTGCCGAACGGTAAAAGTGATTTTCTAATTGTTGCCAGATTGCTGCCTCCATTTTTCATAAGTCTTAATGGGTTCGCGAGTCTTCCACGAACTCTTTTTGTTTGAATGGTGTATGAAGGTAGTTTTACGTCTTGTGTTCAATGTTGGTTACGCAACTATCTGGGTAGTTTGTTTTATGGGGATTTGGAAAGTGTAGGTAATGGTAATAGTAAATGAATAGGTAACGGTTGATTGTGACAACGTTACACTTCTTTAAATGGAAATTTAATTGCTCATTGTAGCAAACAAATATTGCGCCACGCATACACAACTCTACAACGAAACAGGAATTGAAGAAATGTAAATAGAGAGAAATGGACACCGACCTTTTTTTTTGTTACTGGAGAGATTGTCAGGAGGATTTCTGCATACACATATATTAATATTCCCGATGATAAGCCATCGCATTTGGTATACAAATAGTCAATCAATTTGCAAAAATATTTATTTTGATTGGACACTTAGTTTTTTAATGATACCTAAAATACGCAACAGCGGTTGTAGGTTCTTTATATGGCAAGCGAATATTCATTTCCTATTCTCTCGAATGGTTTCAACAAAAAAACGAGTAAGGAAACAACGTTCTGTTCACGTAACACAATTCGCAAGAAGAAGAGCGACAGTTATTTTGCAAGTGGCTTAATATACAATTAAACGTTCAACAATGTAACGATCAAATTTTTAATCGATACAGGGCATTTCTTATAACTGCTCCATATTTGTTATAAAATGGTACAATAATGTTGTCGTAAGAATGTTATTTGAATTACTAAATTAATCATAGTAATAGGGCGTAACACTGCATTCCAAAACCGTCACATTTACAAGTGAAGATTTAATAACAATTTCTATGGTGCAAGAAGTGCAACTAGAATGGAAAAACGGGGTGTTATACCTCAGAGCAGCTGAACAAGGAGATGTCATCGCACAATTTAAACTTGGTTCTTGTTATGAAAATGGAACTGGAGTAGAAAAGATGAACAAAAAGCAGTTGAATGGTATAAAAAGGCGGCTGAACTAGGATGTGCCAGGACGCAACATAATAATAATCTTGCTGATTGTTATCACGCTGGGAACTGGAGTAGAAAAGGATAAACAAAAAGCAGTTGAATGGTATAAAAAAGCAGCTGAACAAGAACATGCTCATGCTCAACATAGTCTTGTTGGTTGGTATAATATTGGAACCTGAGTAGAAAAAAAGCAGTTGAATGGTATAGAAAAGCAGCTGAGCAAGAAGTTGCCAGAACCAAATAATCTTGCTATATATTACAAAAATGGAACTGGAGTAGGAAAAAATGAGCAGAAAGCAGTCGAATGATATAGAAAAGCAGCTGAACAAGGAAATGCCAATGCTCGAAATAGTCTTGCTGTATCAATATGTTATGCTAATGGAACTAGATAAACAAAAAGCAGCTAACAAGGATATGCCAATGCTCAATATGATTTTGCTATATGTTACTATGAAGATGAAACTGGATCGTAATAAAAACCTATACACTTAAGACTAAAATAGATAAACGCCTGAAAAGGGTCCCTCCGAGTGCTTGTTCGAGTGAAAATGCGATCGTGGATGTGCCAAAATCAACTCACAATGTTGCAGTTGAAAAGAAGATGTCTAAACTTTCAATTTCAGAGATTTTAGAGATTTTTTTATTAAACAGAATTTGATATAGATACCATTATCCATCTTTTACAGCAAAAATGCCAAATGTCGCGAAGTGTTACCACAGAAAATTAGAACAATGGAAGGCCAACATTGTCTTTGAATATCGGGATAACACAAATTACTGGAAAAACGAACGCGAGAGTATGAATGAGGATGATTTCTTAAAAATATAAACGAAGATATGAAGCCCGCCTTGGTATTCCTGCAAAAAGGAGTTAAATAAAATTATTGAATATGTATAATTGTAGCATTGTTGGTGTTGTTTTATGAACGATTATCGGATTGTAAGTATAAAAAATTTATTATTGTTTTAATTCATATCTGCTTGAATAATATTAATATGGTGCTGGAAGTCATAACTCGATAATAAAATGGTAAGAATTTAAAACGCTTCAACTCCCTCAAAACGTTATATTTTTATTTTAAAATTCGAAACAAGGTTTGGCCACGTAATCAGAATTTTATTGGGGGGGATTTTTATTGATTTTAATTAATCAAGTTTATAACGCATAGAGTCCGGGAAATTTATTCAGCTGCTGAAGTCAACGATACCCATAGATATCACCTGTACCTGTAGAATTGTCACTTTAATAATTCAGTCTAACTTCGCTTTCCTATTACTCTAATTTCTCGATTGTTTAAGTTAAGTTACATCATAAATTATTAGAGTGGTGAGGATAATATATTAATCAAGCATGTCTGCTCACACAAGCAAGCTTGAAAGTACTGTTTAAGTTTCTAAATTTGTGTGCTTGGATACAAAAACGCATCTAAGCAAAGCACAAGCCGGACTGCTTAAGCACTTAACTTCTTTGAAGTTGCGTCCCATTCTTAAATGAATGAAATGTTTATAGTTACAAACGGTTATTGGACTGAATATCTATCTCGTAAACGAGGGATACATTCGCCCGACCAATTCCAGCATTGCAATACCTCACACATCAATTAACACGATATCTTGATATCCTTGAGTCATAAAGCATTGTATAAATATAAACCCAGTCTCCCGCCACCGAAACAAGAATTTTAATAAAACCTAAAGACAATTTTAATACATGGTTTACAATAAAAATATCATATTGGTACAATTTCCAGTCGTGTCCAATTCGATCGTCACTTCCTCGAATCGCAGACTCCAATCTCTACCAAGATGTCTCATCGTTAATTCTTCCACACCTATTGTTTATCCTTCGTTTTCTTGAACAACTTGTAACTGCCAAAGAGACCAAGACAAAGAGAAGCCACCACCCATATAGCAATATTCTTCAAGCTCGTCTCACCCCGGCTCCTTAAAGTCTTTATTACATATAAAGTTTCCAATATATGTACAGTAACCATAAAGTATGTTATTCTGCGCACCACGTGAGGTCCAACAAACGCTCGCAAAGCAGCCACAGGTGGGGGTTGATATTGGGGGAAAAAATCAAGATACAGTTCGAATGATACGAGACTCGTGCCGATAAACCAAACCAAGAAGTTTGGGGGGTCGAAGGGTACGTGTTTAGACACAGTAGCATCGGAATTCAACAAAGGAGTCCGAGATGAATTATCGGGTGAAATTGAGGTCATTGTCTTGGATAAAGGGTTGAACAGTATAGCAGTTAATAGAGCGATGAAGCCGAAAGATTATCATTTTATATGCTTATCAGTTTATCAATTTCTGATGTATTTACACGTGCTAAAATGTGAGAATACAATTCTTTTTGTCTATGTTGCGAATGACAAAATGGTCACAAGGGTGTCACACAACTTTAAATGGCAATCCAATCCTATACTAATACATGACCCCTCGCAATTACGTGAGCGTGCATACATATACATGCATCAAAGTCAGGTTCCACATGAGAAAACTCCTAAATTGTAACAAGAAATTTTACTGACATCAGTCGCGTTTTGCTTTTCAGCAAATACATAGAATCAGTATTGTTTACGTAAAATTCGATCCTTGGTACAAGAACTTTTCGAACCACACACGTATGCTATCTATTTGAACAAAAATCTTTAATCTTAACTGTATGAGCGCGGCTCTGCTTTGACGGCTATAACGCTGACGAGCACAACAAACAGTCGTGACAAAAGGATGGCATGCACAACGGCTATTATATACTCGATATTAGAAAAGTAAACAATTGTTGGTTAGCGCAAGTCTGGCGTTTAATAAAGGTCACATGCATAGTATTGTATAAAATATTCCTATTCTGAAATATGAATAGTTCGGTCTTTCATGCAATGGTCGTCATTACAGAGGTTGCACACGCGTGGTAGGGAAGCGGTGCGGTGTTATGTACCGAATTAAACAACAAATTCTGAAGACCAACCAACAAAATTTATTGGTTTTGACATACATGTCACCATTTATGCAGTAAAAGCGGGCACAGCTTTTGAACAATTTGCAGAAATAATATTTAACGATCGCTTATTATACTCCTCAACATGGTTTTAGTGAGGTAGGTTTTGTCGAATAAATTATTTCTCGTCTTTATCTCTTAATTAACTTTTCACGTTCTTCTCAATCCAGACTGTGTATCCAACACAAATGTGTATCATCTTCTGTCTGCATTATCCCAGATTATTCGTTTTATTAAATAAGTTGTAAACATTAATGCATTTATCAATAACTTTCTAGCATCATTTAATTATGTAAAAAGTTATTCGTTTACCGCCATTTATAAATTTCGAGTTTTGAGACAAACTGACGTCTGCAAATGGCAATAAAAAACCTTGTGACTTTTTTATGTTTCAAACAATGTAGAAATAGACGTTTTTTTCAATATGAATATCAATCTCAACTCTAAGGTTTTGTGAGTCCAGGGATTTTGTAAGGGTTCTATGTATTAAAAATTATTAGCTGGAAGAATAAGATAAACTTATTAGACACGGGAGTTAACGTCGATTATTACAGATACTGACATGAATGCTTAATATCAGAACCGTATTTGCACGTATTTAAGACCTCTCTAAGATTACGATGGCGGACAAATATAATCGTTTCTTTCGCTCTTGAGTTCCAAGAGCAACTAATGATGGGTTTTTATTGAGTGCTGAAGCGGGGAGAGTCCGAACAAAGAGGGTTAAGAGAGATTCGACCTTCAATCTTCTGTTTACGGAGTATTTCGAAATTGTCTTCAGATCTAGTTTTCGGTTAGGTTTAATTGTTGTAAATGTTGGTGGTAATGTTTTGCCTTGTATTTTTTCATTGTTAAAAAGCTCTTTTGTGTCATTTTCTCCCGTAAATGAAACTTTTTCTTGAACAGCTCCTATTTTGTACAAAAGGATTTCATAAATGACAATCGAAACCAAGATATCGTACGCTATATTAATATTCCGTAATTGACTATATTTGTGGCGATTTCAGAAAGACTGTTTTTGATGTCTTTATCCGGCGCACATGTGGAGGGTTATTGCAGAGGAGTAATACAAGTAGACGAACTTCCGTTTGATGATATTCACAAACGTGGTGCTCGTGATACAATGAAAATTGAGTAGGCGCGTGTCACAGTGGTACACCAAACTCTTTTTGCTGGCATTCTTCGCGTTCACGACAAGACAAATCTAAAAATGTTCGGACATGTCCCGCAGTCTATTTTGTCGGCCAACCCAAATTTCGCTGCACTGCACAAGCAGATCGTAACGCGCTACCTAACTCCAGACGGCCGGACCAAAGCTTTGGAGGAAGAGACTGACGTGGTAGCGTTATAAAGCAAGCTAATTCGTTCTTAGTATATACCAGTTAACTCACGGGATATCTTCCAATAAAGAGCGATTTTACAGAGGAAAAGATGACCTATTTAGAACATTTAGCCTTGTATAATGAACTACAAAAGTTAGCTGTGCAAGGCTTTAAACCACCCAAAGACGGCCGGACGCAGGTAAGCAATAAGAGATTATTTTGTCACGATGACTAGCTTGCTCATATATTACAGGTTATAGGGAGCCCTTTCGGATGTCTTGGCTTTTGCAGAGACGAGACAATTATTAAGATACCGTCCGAGAGATCCCGACTTGCGCAATTCTGGTGTGACTCTACTTGGTTTGACCGAGAAAGACCTTTGTAAGCAGGTAGAAGGACAGTTAGGGATAGTGAAGGTTAGTAAGTGAATCACCTCCCTTATATATAAGTGCTGCATACTAACTGTGAAGCTCGATCAGAACTCCAAAAATGTACTTCTAAAAGCCATCGAAGAGAGACTAATAAAACGTTGTGAAGATATTGCAAAATTTCATTATTCTGGACAAGGTACTATTGTTTTATTATTCGAGTTGGATCATAGGAGATCGTGCGAACTTATGTTGAGAGCATGTCTTGTGTAAATTAGAAATTAATCCGAAATTACGACTCGCCAAGGCATCTCAACTTGATGTTATACTGAAAAAAAAAATAAGTCTTATTGAGTCTACGAAGATGGATCAGTTCAACGATTACTATCGGTTGGGGGAGACACTATCAACGTATCTCGAGGTAGCTGTGAACAAATTATAGCGTTATCGCTACAAGTCGACTGACTCTTAATGTATCGACGCGGTTAGGTGACGAAAAATATATTGGAGACCCTGTGGTGTCTAGTCGAGGAATTTATGTTACGTCACGAATATGAAAAAAACAAGGGATTTAATGAATATTTTTCCGCAATAGTCAATTCCATTATTCTAAAATTGAGGTGGGTGATTCACAACACATGCTATTGCCATGTTTGCATATATAACTCAGATTTTATACTTTAGGGTCCTTCGAATAAACACTCTTTTGTCTGTGTACGATAAGGACACGGTGGAATTTCTAAAAACCGTCAGGTGAGATTTTTTGCATACTACCGTTTTGGTTAGACTCTGACAGATAACATTGGATTACGTTTACAGAGAAAAACTTCGCGTCGAGGAAATAGCCAAGCAGACGAAATTACGTGAAGTAGAAGAACTCTTGGGAAAATACGAGACTTTCGGGTCAGAATTTGAGGAAATTATCAAGGAATACATAGCATTACAGAAAGATATTTTAATCGCGGAAGACAATCTTCGCCGCATAACAGGATAAATAAATATCAAACGAACCCGGGTTAGGAATATTATTAGGAAACCACATACCTAATACGATGGTGTGATCACACCCAAGAGGTTCTGGCGGGGGATCGTATCAACGGAAAATTTACGGCGATTCATTTGTCAAAAAAAAAAAAAAGCCAAAATTTTTTGCACAAGTATTTTCTTGCGAGACACTCAAGGTTAGTAAACCTTTTTACGCTGTCCGAGTAATCGAGCAGACCGGAATTGAGCGGTGCAAGACACAACTTGTTCGTCATAAATTACATCTCAGAGTCTATTTTTAAGATTTTCGACTTAAGTTGTGTCAATCATTTTCTTTTGCGTTATTCTCCACCCTTATCATTCTCATCTTCTTCAACCTCGATCCAATATTCAGCTTCCGTATTATTCTTGTGAAACATCATCAAAGCTAGAATTATGGGTAAATGTATAAGACTCCCGAAGAACAAATCCCTCGCTGTTCTATCGTTAGAATCATACCAAAATTTAAAAGATCTAAAGAGCAAAATACTGTTAATCACTGTCGAGTCTAAAGCAAACCACCAAGTAGTCATCCCAATGTATGGCGCTAAATAACATAAAGGAAACAAGGCTAGATTATGTCTCAAAGAAACACGAGCGTTCAAAACCGGATCGGTCACCGCCATCATTCTATAACCCGCCTTTGAATAATCTTCTCGCAAATTCCATGCGAGTGAGTTAAAATGAGGAAACTGCCAAGCGTATAATAACGCTCCCAAAGTCCAAGCTCCGGCGTCGAGACTATTAGTGCACGCTGTCCAACCCATCATTGGTGGTATGGCACCAACGATAGATCCAAGCCACGTGTTTACAATTGCTACTCGCTTCATCGGTGTGTATATACATGTATATAATACAATATTTGCTGCTCCCAAAAATGCTGTTAGTGGATTTACAAATGATGTTAAGATGCCTACGCCCGCGATGCCAGTAATCGTGCCAAACGTAAAGGCATGTAAGGGTGTTAATGCGCGACGCACAAGTACGCGATTACGCGTTCTCGACATTTGTGCATCATATGGAAATTCAATCCATTGATTTATTGCGTTCGCAGATGCGACGCAGAGACCAGTACCAACCGTAGTTGCAAACAAACACGAAAGATCTGTTGCAGCTGGAGCCATAGCGTATCCACACATACTTGTCAAGACTACTAACGCGGCGAGTTTAGCCTTTGCGAGATCTTTGTATGCTTTTGCAAGGCTCGCGACCGTAAGAGGCGGAATTGGTTTGTATTTTATCTCAGCGTCGAGAGTAGAAATTCGATGCTGCATGGCACTTGTTGGTTTGCTAGCCGCATTGGAATTTGATGGAGAGGCGTTTTTTGGTGGTGGTGGTGGTGTTGTTGTTGTTGTTGTCGTCGTCGTCGTCGTTCTTGGTATCGTGGTACTCACGCAACGACATTCTCTCAACGCATCGAATGCTAATATCGAGCCGTCATGTCTGAATGGTTTTAACCCAAGAGATTTGATAAAACGATGCTTCTCGGATGATGTAAAAAAGTCGGCTTCAAACCAAGTTTTGACTATAAATCGATATTGAGTTGTCCGCAGTACTCGTTTCATTTTTTTACGTTACAACTTTTTTTTTGGCTATGAAATCCTAATCCGCAGATCGCCCAGCCGTATAAATGTGCAGATTAATGTTGCTTATGAACTGTGTTTTAATTTACCAATATGAAGTTGGTTAAAAAGCATATAGAAAGAGATCGTTCGGTAAGACATTTTGAAAAGTAGTGGTATGCCTTTATTAATTAGCGTATTAAAACTCTGGTATTCCATTCTTTAGGGATATCTCGTACTATATCCCGAACAATTGGAGGATATGTGGCATGTCTACAACTTGATATCCGTCGGAGATCAACTCAAGGCTACAACTATAAGGTAGTGACATTTACCGGCATTCAGAAACTCACTTGTAACATTCTCTCTCTTTTCTTTGGGCCGTGAGATCTAAGGTGTTTTTATTTCACGCGCAGGCGTGTTCATACCGAGAGTTCTACGGGGTCTGTCGACTCTCAAAGGGTACGAACGACTCTTACGATCACGGTTGAAAACATTGACTTTGACTCACAAGCCGGAATACTGAGAATAAAAGGTAGAAACATAGTAGAGAACAGATATGTAAAGGTAAAATATACGTCGCATTTCGTTATTTTAACCTGGCTTTACCTGAACCCCTGTTTTTCTTGCAGCTCAACGCGTATCACACCATTGACCTCGAATTAAATCGCAACTTTACTCTTATCAAACGCGAATGGGATATAATATCACTGGAAAGAGTCGAAGAAGCATGCGATATAACCAAACAAGCTGACGTAGCGGCAGTAGTGTTACAAGAAGGTAATCATCATCAACATTCTTTTCATTAGCGATTTTCATATTTATGCGTTTCTGCCGATTTGCATTGGGGGCGTCAAAAAGGGTTGGCCAATTTATGTCTGGTCACGCAGAATATGACTATTGTACGTCAACGTATCGAACAAGCTATTCCGAGAAAGCGGAAAGGATCAGTTACAAACCACGAAAAGGTACGGGTCGTAATCGCAAAAACAACTTATTCGTGATTCGCGCGTTACGAAACTGACATCAAGGCACTGCAACAGGGTTTACAAAAGTTTTACGAACAAGTAATGCAGGCTATTATACGGCACGTTAACTTTGACATTGTTAAAGTAATTATATTGGCAAGTCCAGGATTTACCAAGGTGAGTTGATAATGACGCGAGAGCAGTTGATAACGGATGCCTGTCCTAATTTTATTTTTTTTTTCAAAGGACCAATTATTCGAGTACATATACGCAGAGGCAGTGGTAAGTATTTAGCCTGAAAGGTTATATCAATGTTTTAACCGCGATCACTGTGATAACAAGCTCTATTTTTTATAAATTTCAGAAAAATGATGACAAAATTCTCTTGGAAAATAAATCCAAGTTCATGCTAATTCATTGCTCATCTGGCCATAAACACGCTCTCCAAGAAGTGCTCCAGGATCCTGTAGTGCAAAACCAACTTGCCGACACCAAATATGCACAAGAAATGACAACTCTTGATAAATTCTTCAAAATGTTAAACGATGACCCTGACCGTGCATTTTATGGTTGGAATCATGTGAGCAAGGCGGAAGAAAGAGCTGCTGTTGGAACTTTGATGCTTAGCGATGAGCTTTTCAGGTATGAGAGCAGCAGTGTGTAGAAGTACAATATGGCAGGAACTGACAGCACATTCATTTGTGTATTAACACAGATCGGCCGATATTCAAACGAGGAGAAAATACATCCGGCTTGTTGAAAACGTTCGTAGTCATGGTGGGAAAGTACTAGTGTTTTCCAGTCTACACGTGTCTGGTGAACGTAAGTGTCAACGAAAGACGAGTCGAACCACGTTTTCCGTAGTACTGTTAACCCGACACTATCGTTAACTTCAACTTGATTCTGTAATAGAACTTAATCAATTGGGGGGTGTGGCTAGCATACTTAATTTCCCGTTACCAGACATAGAGGATGAAGATGAGGAAGAAGGCGACGGCGGCGGAGACGACAATAATGCGCAAGAGGTTAATGCAGATTAAATACCCACAAAGAAACATTGATAATATTCCGTAAGCTAATCAATAATAATGGTAGAACTACATCTTAATTTTGTATTTATTCGCAGGGTAGCATTGATTTGTTTTAAAATTCAAAAAGACAACAATCAATAAAAATGAGATCAAATTTAAAGTACTCAGCAACAAATATTCTGAACTTTAAACCAAATAAACTATTATTAATTGTAATTAAGCCCATCAAGTTTTTTGTCCTAATTCAGCAAACTTCTCTCTTGGAATCATTTTCGAGCAACCTATCTCCAAGAAATGGATTGCTCATCTAATGCTTTCTTAAATGCACAAAATGTCCGAGCCAATCGATCCATAAAGTGTCGATAGTGACGAAGATAGAGCAGGGGAAGGAGTGGTGTCAGAGGATCACATAGGATTCTATTATCAGAAATGATAATGCTGCAATGCCAACATATGGACCTGAAGGCAAAGAAAGTATTCAGAAATGCTAAACATGCAAAACTGTGCACCACGTTCAATTCTAACGTGCGAGATACAATAATAATAAGAAACATGGTAAACGAGTTTCGTCTACAATGGCACGTGATAGACTTGCAACATGTTTTGCATAGTATACCCCAGCTTGAATATAAGGACAGCAGTTTCCTGACCCTAATTCTGGTTTCACTTCGATTGTGTTTGTCATATGCATAACCATTATGGCCGAAGGAAGATTATCTTCCTGTTTGTGTACTGGTTAAGGCTGATATTGTAGTGATCTCTATAGTAAAATGTTCGTTTATTAGTACGCGTTTTCTTTTTAAGACGTCGACTAGCAGTTATCTCCCCACCATTCATTGCTTTAAGCTGGGCCATTAAAAATATATCTTGTTCAGATCTTGGAATGCCTCACGTAATTCAGCAAACTTTTCTCTCGGGATCAACCACATTTGCAACCTATCTCTAGGAAGCGCATGGCGTTTTCATGTTCAGTTGAACCATTATAATTATAATTTTCCATATACGGGTAATCCAATATACATAGTCACTCTCGATAAGTCGGACACTCGATAAGTCGGATTTGGCTTAACTCGGACAAAATTTTCGCCCCCTTTTTCCAATATTTAAAAAAATTCGATAAGTCGGACACATATATAAAATCGCGATAAACCCGTAAGTCGGACAACCTTTCACT